GCTTGTTTTGTCAGAAATAATACAGTGGCTGTCACGTTAGGCAAAGCAAACCAAACATCACTGTTGGATGAAGAAAAGAATACAATTATTAAAAAAAATAAACTTTCTCATAATTGTTATGGAGCAGCAAGTGATGGTAAAACTTTGGTCGTCAGCATGCAGGGTGATAAAAGTACTACAGTGAATCTGAATGACATGTCTCATACAATCTTAGATGTGTTTGGGGCTGATTGTATTCCATTGTTCCAAGAAAATATATATTGCGCCATTTACTATGAAAGCAAAGGCTGCTGCTACAAAAGTACTGGTGAACATCTGTGGACATTTCAACACCAAGATAGTACATGCCCAGCAGGAATTACAGTACATGAATGGCTTTGTTTATTTAGTTTCTCGACGAAACAACAATATCGTGGTAGTGTCACCCGATGGTAAAACCTGTAAGACAATAATATCAAAGGATGATAGAGTTATATCCACGTATGCAATAGACATCAACAGAGATACAGGAATTATGATAGTGTCAAGTAAAATAAGGGAGCTACCATTTGATTTTTATGGGGGGGGGGGGGGGGGGGGGGCGGATGAAATTTTTTTTTTTTTTGCAAATGACTCATCCTGCCTTTTTTTTACTCAAAACTCCTGTCCTGCCTATTTTTTTCAAATTTAATCCTAGCCCCCCCCCCCCCCCCCCCCCCCTTTCCCCATAAAAATCAAATGGTAGCTCCCTAAGTGATGGGAGTGATGCATCCTATCAAACAGCTTTCGTTTATAAAATCGAGAATATTATTTGCCTAAATTAATAAATAAAGGTTAATACAAATGTTATATGTTCATATGTAAAATGGTATCAAATGTGTGATATCGTCCTTATTAAGGCGTCCCCATTTTTTTTATTAGAATAAATATTTGTTCACTTTTTGCATGAAATAAATTTGATTTTTGTAACTATTAACTTTACATAGACAACAGTATTTACAAAGGGAAGTTTAAGGTAATAATAAAAATGAAAAGAACACTGTATGCATGAAAACTAGCGTGTCCAAAGCGTTTTTTAAATTATTATTTTTTTATCAATGTTCACGAGGAACACTCAGAATCATAAATTCGAAAGCAAAGGATGTATGAATACTTGAATATTTTGTATCTCCTGATACTGTATATTCAGAAAAAGATCCTATTCAAAACTTTCCGTTTTGCTAGGACGTAGAAAGGTGTAAGTGTAGAAATATATCAGGTACAAAAAGACATTTCTTCACACAAGCAAAATAAAATGGAATCCAAGAGGTTCCCTCAAGAGAAATGGTTCTATATAAAACATGAAAATAAAAGAGGAATCGACAATAATACTGGACAGTAAAATGGACAACAGCAACCACCAACATCGACTTCTTGAAAAACACAGATGTACAAACAAGACAAATATAACAACAAACAAAGCAAGGTATAGGCACACAATGTGATATGCTAGCATACAAATACATGCAGAAATGGAGAGTTAGGCGCCTGCAAACATGTTTAACCCCGCCACATTATGTTAGTGCCTGTCTGAAGTCAGGAGCCTGTAATTCAGTGGTTGTCGTTTGTTGCTGTTTATCATATTTGTTTTTTGTTTAATGTTTGTACCTAAAGCAGGTCGTTAGTTTTCTCTTTTGAATTGTTTTACATGATTTGTTATTTCGGGGCCTTTTATAGCTGACTATGCGGTATGGGTTTTGGTCATTGTTGAAGGACGTTCGGTGACCTATAGTTGTTAACTTCTGTGTCATTTTGTCTCTGGTGTTGTTGTTGTTGGTGGTGGAGCGTTATTTATTGGAAATCATACCACGTCTTCTTATATTTGTAAGCAGAGTTGAGGAATAATATGAAGGCATACATATTTTTTATCCTACTGAAGACATAACCTTTTATTTTACCAAAGATTAGGATCAGAAAAGAGCCTCTCTTCCCTGCTACTTATGAAAAGGTTGGTGACAAACTTTTAAAATTATTGATGCAGAAATAAAAGATATTAAGATCATGAAAAAGGTAAGGAATAGCCTCCAACCATTTATCGTTGAATAATAGCTAGACTGAAAGGAGAAATTATTCTCTAAAACATCATTGTTGGTGTTATTTTTTTTTAAACCAAACATATTTCTTTTTCTGAAGAAACCTAGAACCAACCTATTTATTTACTATAACAACCCCCCACCTTTCATTCCCATAAATAATTATGCTCGTTGTGCAAGATAATAGTAATAATGATAATAAGACATTACATTGATTAAAATCTTACAAAATTGCATTAAAAAAAAACGGAAATGCGGTTTTCAATTGACTAAAATTCATTTGTATTTTTATATTCTTTTTCAGTTATCAAACGGAAAAAAGAAATATAAAAAAACACAGATCAATAGCAGTGAAAAAAAACTCTGGTTGATGTTATTTCCGTAACACGCGTTTGCTGTTGTTTGTTTATTTTTTATTGGGGTTTATTAGGGTTTTTGTTTTGATTTTTACTATTCTACTTGCTTTCCATTCCAAAGTCCAAATACTGTATATCGATTTACCAAATATGTAGACCATTCACTGTTTTCACACAAATTAAACTGATGAAAAACACAAGCTAGACGGATAAATACTTGTAAGTAAAGAAATTTTAGTATAACTTACTATATTTTTTTTTGTTTGAAAATGGATAAAGAATAAATAAACACCAGCTGAGGACCACCTCCGGGTACGGGATTTTCTCGCTGCGTTGAAGACCCATTGGTGGCCTTCGGCTGTTGTCTGCTCTTTGGTCGGGTTGTTGTCTCTTTGACATATTCCACATTTCCATTCTCAATTTTATATTTGTTCGATGAAAAAAAATGTTTTTCTCTTTTCTTTGTATTATATTTTTTCTTTTGGTTATATTCTTTTTTTTTATTATTATATGTTTTCTTTTTCTTTTCTTTTTTTCATCTGAAATTGTAAAGAATCAGTTATACATGTAGTTGTGTAGCTCTAACAGTCCCTCGCCTAAGTTTTGTTTAAGTAAAGTGTTCAAGATCCAACATCCCAAAATATTCGCACCAAATTTCCCTGGAAATATAAATGATTTCTTATCCCTAAAATAGTATCTAGTCTATATGCAAAATTCACAAACACACTTACACATAATTATCTGAGCTAAAGCTCTGAACATTGCTTGTTTTCAACTATGCTTTTAATGTGTATTGTTTTATTCGTTTTTAAATTTTTTTCAGTAATAACTATTTAGCTGTACATCGCATAAACGGGCACTTGATTTAGCCGTAAAAAAAATCAAAAGCGCCCTCTGGCAAAATCAAGGCGACAGTAGTTCGAACCTCGGAAATTGCCAATGAGACAACTATCCATCAGCGACAACATTTCAAATGAAGTGGGTGTAAAATTGAGAATGGAAATGGGGAATATGTCAAAGAGACAACAACCCGACCAAAGAGCAGACAACAGCCGAAGGCCACCAATGGGTCTTCAACACAGCGAGAAAATCCCGCACCCGGAGTTGGTCCTCAGCTGGCCCCTAAATAAAATTGTGTACTAGTTCAGTTAAAATGGACGTCACACTAAACTCCAAAACTAATAAATGGACTAAAATTAAAAAAACATACAAGACTAACAAAGGCCAGAGGCTCCTGACTTGGGACAGGCGCAAAAATGCGGCGGGGTTAAACATGTATTGTGAGATCTCAACCCTGCCCCTAAACCTCTAGCCAATGTAGAATAAAGAAACACATAGCAATACGCACAGTAAAAATTCAGTTCAAAAGATAGTAAGTATAGACAATCAATTGAAAAACTAAAGACCTAATTTATAACAAAACAATTTACGAAAAACAAAATATAGCATAGCGAACGAGCTGGGGTATATAAACACCGTAAGATGGTGCCAAAGGAACATCACCGTCCAAAAAAGGAAAATTAACAATAGAAAAAGAAAAATCATCCGTTTTGTCGTAATTTTTGTGTAGAGTTTCTGGTGTAAAACTGAAATATCTCATGAAATCTAGGAAAGGACAGGTATTTTTGTTAATAATTGATTTATTTAAAGTAAGTTCCTTTGGGTAAATTTCGGCAGTGTCTTTAGAGAATTCTTGATTTTTTAACGAAAAAATATCATCAAGATAACGGTAAGTGTTGTTGAATTTATCAATTAAATGGAATTTAGACAGGTCTTTACTGAGTTTGTCCATAAACTGTGATTCATAACATTACAGGAACAAGTCTGCTATTAAAGGGACACAATTGGTGCCTATAGGAATACCTACAACCTGTCGATGAACTTTATTGCCGAAACGTACATAAATATTGTCAATGAGAAAATTTACGAATTTAATCATCTCATCACACCTCCAGTAAGTATATCTAGCACATTTACCTTTCTCATTTTTCATCAACGGTTTTCAGTGTTGTTGTTGCTCATTGAAATGTGATAAGCTTCTATTCTAGAGACAAATGATTTAAATTGAAGACAGTTTTGAAAACCCTGTTTATCAGATAATTCAAATATATAAAGATAATTCTAGTTTCAAAATAAATTTAAATCAATATTATATATGTCATTGTTATATGTATATACTAGTACATTTTTTTGACAGTGAGAAAAAAACACAAAAGAAAAAAATATGTATTTTTGAGGAAGTGTAAACATATGGAAATCCTAAAAATGTTAATTTTCCTAGTTTGAAAACAAATCATTCCCAGTATCTCACTTCATTATTTTTCACACGGGTTATTTCCCTTTTCCCAGACTTTGAACTGGAAACCTGCATGGGACCTCAAAATGTCTTAGTCTATCATGAAAGGCCTTTTCTGATTGGTCTTCCAGAAACTGACAGGTGTGCTTTTCCTTCAAAATTTTCTTTCGTACAGACTCAGACCTGAAAAACTATAAACTGAATCACACGAATTGAAAGTAGAATTCAATAAACAGTAATTCATTGATGTATATTGATGAAATTAATAATACACTGAAACAAAATATTCCTAAATCTAAAACTTTTGACCAATCAGAAAGCGTTTTACATGTTACTAAACTTAATGGATCTTAGCAGTTTGAAAGCAGACTGAAAATGGGTCTGGATCATGAATAAATGGAGAGAAAAACTCAGAGGGTAGTTCGTTCCCCCTCGTTGAAGAGGAGGAGTCGTGTTATCCCATTAAATCAACGTGTAAGTAGATAATGCACTTCTTGTAAATGACCATGCATGCTACATGGACAGTACTGTTTGTTTACCTGTATGTCAATCATTTTTCCGATGCTGCATGTATTGTAAAATCAATTGTTTACTCATCATTTAATCACATTCAATTATGACTAATTCCTTAAATTTGTAAACTGAAAGATTAATACACTGACATCAGAGAAATGTTGACAAACTTTGAAGGAAAGGTAATATCTTGTTAAACACGAGTGACCAGACTAACTTGTCTGCATATGATATGGGTTAGTAAGGATCTTACATGTCCACTGTAGAGTGTGTTATCATTTGAAATCCCGTCCAGGATAAAATTTCCTGTCTCAGAGGAACCTTAATATCTCATATCATCCCATTTTAACATTCGCTAGCTATAGTCAATAGTTACATGTAACCAGCAAATTGCAGTTTCGGAACCTAGTTCATGCTGGGTAATTTTTTCAAGTTAGCGTACATGTACATCAAAATGTTGTGATTGATTCAAAACGTCCTATTAAAACAATGAAACTTGACCAATAATCTGACCTGTATATTCATCATGTTCATTTTGGTGAAAGAACATCGAAATTACCTAAAGTACTAAACAATTATTGTCCTGGTCACTCTATAAATATAAGGAGATATTTTTCGATCCAAAAACAATGTAAAAATTTCAAAATTCACCGAATGACAGGACAATTTCTTACCACATTTGGTTTAGTGGCTGCTTAAAAAATGTGTTTTAAAAAACTAAATGTTTTTTTATCACATGATTTTCTCACTTATGAATAATGGGAAGAGTGAGACTTTTATTTGGTACGACACATACAATGAAATATACATTTGTACATCTTGTAGAATCATTGCAAGATATGCATGGCTGCCTGACAGACAAGGTCACCTGACCTTGACCTAAATGTATCACTGATCCACTTTTATTTGTTGTGATTATGTCTGTTTCTCAGATACATTTTACATGTACTAGAAGCAATACATGTACATGTACTTACAAATGTATGTCAATTATACAGTGATCTGGAAGGATTTTTTCTCTATGGGCCCAGGGCCCCCCAAAAATAAATTCAATGGGCCATTTTTAGAATTAATGGGCCATGTTGTCAAATGAGTGGGCCATTCGTTAACAATAAAAAAAAATAAAAAAAGTGTATATTTCACTGTACTTACAAGTATGATTCTAATTAATATCATGGAAATTGTTCCTGTGATTTTGTTATTTCAATTTCAATGAATATACAATAACTTCTTCCAAACCGGGCAATATTTACGATAACCTTTATTTACAATGTTAAAACTGGTACTGTTCCCTTGTTCATGTTCATGTTTTTTTTACATTAAATTTGGGTCTTCGTCGATACCATACTTATTCCAGACGTTCCGTATTAGAGGACGTTTCTGGCATTTCCTCTGCACTTGTATTATTATTACTTCATCACGATGACAAGAATAACAGTAGAGAGCAACGTTAATTGAAAAGACACGACAACAATTCGCTGAAGGCATGTTTAATGTCAAAACGAGCCAAAGACCAAAAAAATTGACAAGGACAGTTAAGCCCCTTTTATGGAGACAAATACTACGCTATTCATAAAAAGGCTTTTGGATTTTTCAATCGAAATAATAGCAAGCTTACTTAAAAAATTATAATTAGAGAAGAATTCTCGACTGTACTAGCCAATTTTCACAAATTTAAAGTAGTTTATAAAAAATTATATGAATGATGGTTAATTACGTTTTTGGGGTAATCAGTCATACCGCATGTTGCTATTATTACCATAGGAAAACACCCAAGACGTCCCAAAAATATATAGGTGCTCCTATCATTGGAGTTGTGTATTCGCACATGGCGGCACGAAATACGATCGGAAATCCATTTGACGATATCTCAACGTTTCAAAACGAAGTGAAAAATATCATGCGCCACGCGGGCGCTTACATTTGTCACTCTATGCGCCATTTCTGGTCGATAAGCGCAATTGGCGCAAGGCGCACATCCTTCCCGATCACTGATTATAATTGACATACATGTAAGGGAATGTTTGTAAGGTGAACGTGTCTGTCTGGTAGGGTTTATGTACATGTATGTAACATTGAAATAATTTTCATGGTTTATATGACAATGTAAGGTTTTCAGAATTCGGTCCTTTTCTCAAATACCATAAGCAATTGGTCACTCTATGCACCATTTCTGGTCGATAAGCGCAATTGGCGCAAGGCGCACGTCCTTCCCGATCACTGATTATAATTGACATACATGTAAGGGAATGTTTGTAAGGTGAACGTGTCTGTCTGGTAGGGTTTATGTACATGTATGTAACATTGAAATAATTTTCATGGTTTATATGACAATGTAAGGTTTTCAGAATTCGGTCCTTTTCTCAAATACCATAAGCAATTGGTCAACTACAAATGTATATTTGGTGTACATGTTTGTCTGGCAGGGTTTATATGAAACTGAGATCAGATTCGTTGTTTATTGGACAACATTAGTTTTTTTGTGATTAGGTCCATTTCTCACAAACTATAAGCAATTGGTTAACTATGTATACATCATTTTACATTTGGTGTATTGAATGATTGTATGTAGGATAAAAATGTTACAATAGTTGTCACCTGAACTTGATTCTTTTTTATAAGTTTGTTGAAATGCTACTCAAAGGTGCATACACAGAGTTCTTATAGTTTACAAGACAACAAGTCCTTCCAAAGAATTTTTTTTTTTGAGTACCTTTTACATGTATAAATCAGATCAACAAATATAACATTTTTATTGGCCTGCTACAAGTGTTGATAAAAGCAAGGCATGATATGCTAATCCAGCAGTTTAAGAAGTGGAAGTGATGGCATAAACAATAACTGGTACATGTAGTACAAAGCTAATATTTCTGAACATACCAAAGATACATTTGTAGTAATTGTACCAACAGTTCCTTACCGTTAGCATGATAGCCATCATTTTCATGGTTCAATGGTTTTATAACATCAGATTTGTTTATCTTTTTTTGTTTGTTCATTAACATTGTGTACACAGAAATAATGGAAAAACTTTATTTCATTGAAGTAATTCTGAAAATAAGTTGTTCATTTGTAAGTCAATTCAGGTACATTGTACATGTATAACTGTCATGACTGTGGGACTTTTAGGTCCTATACTGCATCATGTAACTGGCTGTTCTTATTTCCATGGGGCCTCTGAGGCCAAGTGGTCTAAGTAGTTCAGACATACAGAGTTGGAATTGCACATGTGGCAGGTGCTTTTGACTCTGATCTTAATTGTCTAGCATTGTCAGTTTTTATTGAAGGTCATGATTCTCTACGGACTCCAGGTGCACCAGTTTTCCTCCAGGAATAAAAACTAACAACCATGACATAACCAATAGTACTGAAAGTGGCCTTAAACACCAACTATTAATCTGTCTTAATTTTCAATAATTTGATATTTTCTAACTGACATGACTGAATTTGGTGAACTCCAGAATTTAGAAACACAAGACATTTTTAACTGAACAATTTGTATTTTTTCATGATCAAAATTTTCCAATCTCACACTTTTCTTCAGTTTAAAATTGTCTAGATGTCTACAATTTGTTTATTAGCCAACAGCTACATTTGTACTAATAGACTTCAAAAGGGAGTAAAGGGATGTCCTATGGCTTTTTGGTGAAAAGGATGCAGGCTGAACTTTTGTAAGGCAAGGCAGAAAGAAGCCCAGAAAAGTTCCATAAATAAATACATCATTTAAAAGTTTTTTGACAATATTAGGGCTAAGTAATAGATATAGGAAGATGTGGTATGAGTGCCAATGAGACATCTCTCGATCCAAGTAACAATTTATAAAAGTAAACCATTATAGGTCAAGGTACGGCCTTCCACACGGAGCATTGGCTCACACCGAACAGCAAGCTATTTAATGACTACTTCTCATGCTTCTGGTCTGAAGACTAAGCTAGTCGAAAAGTTGAATGAAATTTTAATTTTGTCAAATTTTGACGTGCAATCATTGGTTATCCATGGACCACTTTAGCAAGAGCTTAGTTGGTCATATTGCTCTCAAAAGACCACTCTCTGCACAGAGCACAAAAAGTGTTAGTGTTTTAGGGATGAATATACATATATATATATATATATATATACAAGTCTAAATTGAAAACAACGTTCAAACCTATGATTGCGTTGGATAAAAACCACAATTTTTATACGTGTGCATGCAAAACAAATATATATATATATGGTACTACAATGTGCAATTAATTTGATAAATCAACTAGCTTATAACCAGAACAGAAAGTGTGGGACATTTAAAAAAAGGCATTTTAGTGTATATAATATATTAAGAGGCAATATTGACAATTACAGTTTGTAAAAGAAAGCTGATTTTAAATGAAACTTTCTACTTTTAGACATTTGCCTTTGTTTTAAGTATTTGTTAAGGTGATTTAGGGGTCAACAATATTGACAGTATAAATAATGTTTATTTGTAGAAGATAATAAAACATCTATCAAATTACCAACTTATACAAGCTATTAAATGTATTTTGAATGGTGTTGCTATCATCAAATCCTCTAGTTGGATTAAGATAAGTCCTTTGGCTTTTTACACTTCAGTCCAGTGTATGTTGATTGTAGAAGAATGGTAGGGAGAGTTGATATAAAGATTGTCTAGAACCAAACCTAAAAGAGGATCACCTTTTAACTAGAAATTGTAGACATCGGTTGAGATACTGATTCATTAAGGATTGAAAGCATCACTGGTTGTGCTAATGTATATTTCTATGACTATCATTTCATTATAAACTTGGTGTGTATGAGGTGAAAACATGGAGCTTTATCTATTTATTATAAATTATTCATAAACAAGAATGTGTCCATGGTACATGGATGCCCCACTCACACTATCATTTTCTATGTTCAGTGGACCGTGAAATTGGGGTCAAAACACTAATTTGGCATCATTAGAAAGATCATATCATAGGGATCATTTAACTTTCAACTGCAACATTGTTGTTTACTGTTCATAGTTGTGTCTGAAACAAGCTCCAAAGATCCCTTGATTAATTTAAGCTCCAGTAAACTGAACATGTAGACATAATGATGTTGTAGGCTGTATGGAGGGGTTGATCAAATTGAAGATTTTTCTAGAACCAAACCTCATCATGCTTATTGAGAATCCCTTTTAATATGTTCGTGTTCCAGTCTTTTACCTCTTGATTAAATGCACATGCATTCAGGTAAATCAGACAGTGTCCACCAGTTTCAGGGGAGATAATATTTTGCAATTTTTTTTTATTGGTTATGTTTTCACAAAATTTAACATTGAAAATAATTTGTCATATATGTAAAGAATTTGTTTTTACCTCTGCGCTATTAGTAAATAGAAGTTTCAGCTTTGATTGATTTGTCATACACTTTGAGGTCCAAGGTGGGGATATTACTTTAAGTATATTATCCATTTTTCCATGAAAACAAGCTCAGTAACACATACAGTTTACATTTGCTGAATATTATTTTCCTTAACATATATGAAAAAATCGACAGTTTGTAAAGTACTCAAAATTTTCCAAAATCCATTTTACTTAAAACTAAGTTAAAAGTATACTGGTTTTCCACAGTATAAAATTATTTTTTTCTTACATGTTTGGGAAAAGATTTTATTTTTCGGTTTGACTATGAATATTTACTTTTAAATTTCCATTTGAATTTAAGTATGCATGGTTTTTCTCTGTCATATAATGCTGAATAAAAATATATGATTATTAAAAAGATATTGCTAATAGTTTGCTTTAAACTCAGTTATTTGGAAAAATTGTTGATGACATACATATTTTTATGCCCCACCTACGATGGTTTGTCCATCCGTCCGTTAGTCAGTCTGTCCCACTTCATGTTAAAGTTTTTGGTCAGGGTAGTTTTTGATGAAGTTGAAGTCCAATCAACTTGAAACTTAGTACACATGTTCCCTATGATATGATCCTTCTAGTTTTAATGCCAAATTAGAGTTTTGACCCCAATATCACTGTCCACTGAACATAGAAAATGATAGTGCGAGTGGGGCATCCATGTACTATGGAAACATTCTGGTTATCTATAATTTCGATCTGAATGAATTGAATGAAGTTACAATGTACCTATGGGAAAAATGAAAAAAAATACATGTACATGTACATATATATCAGTTGTATATGAGGCACTGCCCTCAAACAGGTTGCATCTAAATTTATAAAAGAAAAATGATCCATTTACCTGTTTCTGAATAGCAGATATATATAATGTACATAAATTAGAATTAATCCCAAACAACTGTATAAAGATTTTTTTCTTTCCATCTAAATGTTTTCCATATTTTTAAGATGGCGATCATGTTTATTAATATTGAGTGATGTTATTAATTGATGACGAGGTGGCCCGGGGCCTTACATCATGTTGTAAAATCTCCTGTCTAAAAACAGTACTACAATATGATATTATCACGGACTTACACATGTAGTACTATATTGGGACTTAGAATATTTGATTATGGCAAAGCTTAATCGAAAAACTATTCCAATATCAGTAAGTTTTTTATAACGTAATTATTTTTTTTGTCAAACATAATAAACAACAAGAAATCTTTAGTGAATACATGCAGATGCATAAATTAAAAATGTTCTTTATACATGATGCTATTTTAAGGTTGACCTATATTATTATTGTATTGCACATTGCTGAAGTTAATCAGAGAAAGATGTAATTATTTTGTCAGCAGTTTATATAATTAAAAAAAATTTAAAAAATGGTGACATGTCATGTGATGTCAACGACCACAGAATAGTTCAAATTTCTTTTCACCATTTTCAAAGGTAACATAAATTTGAAGCTTGTTGAGATTGTATATTTACCTCAAGATGTTAAATTTTTCCTATCCAAACATCAATTTTGACTTTATTTAACACTTAACCTTCTACATGTTCTAATTGATCTATATACATGTACATGTGTAAATGCAGGTGTCAAATTCAAACCTGATGTCTCACCCATTTCTTTATAAAAATTAGGAGGTGTAGTATGATTGCCAATGAGACAAGTATCCACCAGAGTTTAAATGAAGTGGATAAAGGCAATTATTCTTTGCCTTTTATAGTCTGTAATTATTGTTGATATGACAGTATTCTACATCTGTGCGTTGCAAAGCTTACAAGGTTATATTAGACATTGAACAAAGATTTTGCTCATACTGGTTTTAGGAACCATGTAAATTCGAACTTGCATTAAGGGTTCAGTTTTGCTCTATGTTTAAGATCTCACTGTAACCAAGTTAAAGAATAGCAATAAAAGTGCTGTACACGTAGGTTAAATCATAAGTACAGGATGAGATGTTTTGTCATGAATTAATACACCACAATAATTCTTTTTCATTTCTGAGAGTTACTGCCATATTTGTTTTATAATACAAGAGTATAGCTAAATAGTAAGTGATTCCTGCATTTTTCTAGAAAGAGCTACATGTAGTTGCATTGTTTCATGTAAAAAAGCAAAGCAGAATGGTAAATTAGCAAGATTCACTAACATGACTAAGTCAAGTGTTTTGTTTAAGGTAGTTTTTTTTTTACTTTTAGGTTCAACTTGAGCGTGTTATTGGACTTACTGGAAGTTCTAATGCTACCCTTGATTGTGATATCAACACAGGAACTATCGCCTATCCTGCAGGGTAAGTGTACCGTGCTATATTGTGATTGGATTGCACAAGCCACCAGAACAGCAAAAAAATAGACATGGTCCAATTATGCAGAGACCCTAAAAATTCATTTCAGATTTTGACTCTATTATTTTTTTCCATTTATAAAATGGGTTTTCAAGTATTCTATAGATCCTTCAATGATTCCAGTTAATTACCAGTTAAAATAGGAAATAAGAATGAAAGGAGATGCATGATATACCACTCATTTTAGTTAAAAATCACTTTTGTTGGAGATTTTCACTGTAAATACTGGTGATTTGGGGTGATTTACTCAACACCAGCAGCAGTGTTTTCCTGTTGAATACCCATCTGTATAGTAAGTCATTGTGAAGGCAACAAATAAACATATTGAAACAAGAAAAAATTCTGCATTTTTTCTAGGCAAGATTTTTTTATGCTTGATATATATTGTTTGTACACTTATCTGTTAATGAAGCCTGTATGTTGACATCTGAATGTAGTTTGATTCATGTGTCATTGGGTTGCTGTCTCATTGATGTATGCTGGGTAACAGGTAACCCCATCCACATCATTATAATTCAAAATAGTTTTGCTGGATAAGCATGATAAGATATATCTTATTTTGATAGTGATTTTCTTATCTATCACTGAAACATGAATATGAAAGTCTGAAATGCTAAATAAAACTTGTCAAGAGCACAGTGGTTGTTTATTGATGAGGAAGTGATGAATGATTAGTAAAGAAGTATGAAGAATACAAAGTTTCTGATAGGTTTTTGATGCTGTAGATAAGCTGTTCACTTATACATGTACTTGAGAAATGTCTATGAAAAAGTTGGAAATACTAGACTTGTACACATATTTTGTTCCTTAGTATAGTGAAGTAATGTTAAGAATTGTAATTACGTAATGATTTAATAACATTAAAGCTCCTATTAATAGACCTCCATAACATTCTTGTGAGGTTCTAGTACTCCTTAAGCTCATTTGTACTGCAGTGTTCAGTGTGACAGATGCATGTATTTAATTGTTGATGATGATGAATGGCTGTTTATCACAAGCAGCAAGTTAGATTTATATTCTGGACGAGAACATATTATTTCAATATGTATATGAACCCTGCTTTGTATTAGACCAACACCTAAGCAGGATTTTTAATGTACTAGTACACAAGGTAACAGTCCACTTAAAGACATGTCAATCAACCCAGACATATTATTCAGACTCAGAGCCAACCAGTCTTTATTACTCCTTAGTGCCACATGCTAGAAGGAGAAGTGGCAAATACAAATTTTAAAGTCTGGGTTGACCCTGGCCAGGGATTGAACCCACAACCTCCCGCATTCGAGTCAAGCATGCTACCAAGACGCCACTAATTTGTGGTAGTACATTGATAATTTAGGGAGTAAAAATCCTCTACTGTTACAGTACAAGTAATTCAGAAGCAAGGTGATAGTCAATCATTTCTATAAAAATCATTTCTTCGTGTGTGGGTTATCAATTTATTATTTTTTTTGTACTCGTTTTGAGATTCACGAAGGTAGAACCAGGTTTGAAAAACCTTTAAAGGGACAATAGGGCCAATGATATAATATATTAAGCTCAGTACAGAATATCAAGTGTAATGATGGGTACATTATAGTCTTGTCATTTTATTTTTATTGAAAACCTTTACGGTGATATTTGATAATTGGGCCAAGGTTGTGAAAATTTACAAATAAACATGGAAAGTTTTACAATTTTTGTATTCATGTGAGTTTAACTACCATGTTGAAGATAAGTCTATCACTTTCCCTTTATCTTGAGGAAGAGTTTAGTGTGGGTGTGATAAACATTACACTGACAGGTGATATTATGGACATTTAAATCAAATCTTCTCCAAATTAAGTAAATCCATCATACCATAATTGTAGAGTGTTTATCTGGTTCAGATAATAAGCTTTCTATTACAATGACACTACAGGTATCATACAATCACATTAACAAATAGATCCTTTATGACAGAATTTAATACATCATTATGGCTATATATATTGGGAAATGGGATTGACCTGACTGAGGTTGTCCAGTAATGGCTTTTTTTTTGTATTTCTGTATTCTTTTGGAATTTATTGGGAGGATGATGATGGTAGAATTGATTATATCTGTTTGTTGGATGTTATAGATACAATATTGGTTGTCCAGTAATGGCTCTTTTTCTGTTTTTTTTTTTATCTCTGTATTTTTCGGAAGTTATTGGAAGGATGAAGTTGGTTGTACTAGAATCTCAATTGATTAAATCAGTTGGGGATGTAATAGATATATAGTATATAATACCACATTTGTAAAATGTATGCTGTAATAACTGTATGAATAAACACCATATGGGGTAACTGTCAATGAGACATTAGGCCTGAAATGAACATAAAGAGGTCACCACAGGCACCCCACCATATCCATGTGTCTGTCTCAAGTCGGGAACCTATTCATGTATGATCTTTTGCTATAATTTAATGTTTTTGTTAGGGAATATACTATTGATGTCAAATCTTTGCTAGTCTCTGTTATATTTAATCACAAATTAACTAGACTTAGGGTGAATTTGGGCTTTTTATATTGTATAGACACTTGTCTATTGTTGAAGACTGTTTTGCTCTCTAGATGTCTTTTGGCTTTTTCAGCTGTTTGTTTGCTGTCTCATTGAAATATACCCAACATCTCCTTTATTCATGTTTTTCAATGAGCCGGTAGAATTTTTTTGCAATCTAAAAATAATGCATAATTCCACAAATGAAATGCTTTCAACATGCTTAATTAGGGAAATTTTAGAAAACTAAAGATAAATGAAATTTTAAAAATCCTAAAGATTAAAGAAATTTTAGAAATCCTAAAGACTGAAATATAAAAAAATCTAAAGATTGAACAATATGAAGCTAAATAATAATCATTGGTCAACTCCAGTGTGCTTGACAAGTAGGTGCTAAAATGTAAAAAAATCTTCATAGACCGAAATGTGACAATAGAGATGTAAATGAAAGTAATCATATCATATTGTCTGTGTGCAGCAGCAATTAAGCTTCTCTTTATGGTCATGATGGTACAAATAATGTCTGTTATGTGTATTGTAACTTATAATACAATTATCTGTTCCATTGTTGTATGTAGTGTGATTTTTAGTACAAATTAATCTACTTCTGGTACAAACAATAATACTAAACTTCTCACTTCTAACAGAGTGCTTCCTTATGTCTGTATCAATTTGCAGTATAACACTATTTTGAAGGACTTGATATTGTTTGCTGTTCAACATTTGATACTTTTAGATTTTCAGTCTATGCTTTCTGATTACTGCAGAAGGGGAAAAGTTTAAATTGTCAAAAGGCTGTTATGGAGTTCTAGTTCATGTAACTAAGTATAAACCTAATATGATTAATGCTGATTATACAAAAAGATATGCCGACCTATGTCTATTTGCAGTTTACTTATTTCAACATAACAAATGTGATATTTGAAAATTTTTGTATTTTGAACATTATTGTCTTGCTCCTAAAATTGAAAACCCTTTTTGAAAAGGTGGCATCTGATTGCCTTTATGTTTCAAATCTGCCTATCAAGTTTCAAACTCTTGAAAGATTTTACAATGAGAAATTAATGGACAAACATCAGTTTGATATATACATCTGTAAGTATGAGTTTGTCTTACTCTTTTGTTGTTTTTGTTGTTGTTGCAAATCACTCAACTTAATACTAGCCAGTTGTTGATTCAGGAATTTCAAAAGGGAAGCCCTGACCCCAAAATGTAGCTAATATCCTTCAAATATAAATCGATGATCTATGTTAAAGTCCCATAAGATGGCTAATAACCCACATTTTGTTCCCTCTAAATGCTTGCAAGAGTACATGCTGACTGTGCAGTATGGGCTTTGCTCATTGTTGAAGGCCGTACAGTGACCTATAGTTGTTAATTTCTGTGTCATTTGGTCTCTTGTGGAGAGTTGTCTCATTGGCAATCATACCACATCTTCTTTTTTATATGTATAAGAATGAATGGATGTGAGATTTCAATTGAACATTTTATAGTAACAAGTATAAAGTATTCCTATACAATTGTTTTGTTAGACACACAAAACTAGTTATATAAACAGAGCCTGTGGGTCTTACATACATATGTCTGTCTCATACCACTGCCTAAAGAAATGTACATTGTACTAGATATTTATACCGTGTAGGTGTGTTTTTAAGGAGAAATAATGTAAAACAACATTAACCTAACAAATTATAAATTCAAAAATGGTGTACTGCTCTTTGTAATGCAACCTAGAAATATGAAAAAAACCAACACCATATTACGCATTTCTAAATACGGTATAAATTATTGAAAATAACCAGGTGCTTTATTGTAAATGGATGGTAGTAAAAGATTTTTAAGTCTTCATTTAAGGTGTTTTGAAGTTTCAAGGAGAATTTATTGTGTGTAAGTGGGTAAAATGAAAAAATGTTTTATGTTGACATCCCATAATTATGCTTTCACCATAGGGTAGACTTTTATATTTGATAAATCGGGCTGGTTCACATTTACATAAGAAATTTAAAACATTTGTATGTTGTCAACTCGGTTGTTTTTCGATTCAAATCTTTTGTAATATATGATTGCTTAAGGACATTTTTAAAACACAAGTTATTATGTGAGGTCAAACAATTTACAGTTGTTAATGAACTAATTTGCATTGTTCTCATTGTTAAAGTTCTAAAAAACTACTTATTAACGTCAACAAGAATACATTTTTAAGTGAAACTTTCTTGAATAGAAATAACAATTTTAAATTTACAAAGGTACATATGTACAGTAATTCTCATGCTTGAAAGTATTTGGTAAAAAATTTAAACCGAATTACAGTGATTAAGGTTTCATTAAAAGGGAACTTTTGCACAGGCACTACAAATGAAAGTTAACAACTGTTTAAAACATCTCAAATTGCAATTGATTTGTAAATATGTGTAATATTGTAAAATTGTTCATAGATAAAATT